ATTAGATTCCACGTATGAGTGAGATCATGTGATACTTATCTTTCTCTGACTGGCTTATTTCACTTGGCATAATACTCTCCAGGTCCGTCCATGCTGCTGGAATACTTATTTTCTATGTAAGTTCTTTAACTCACTATGATGGGAAGTAAAATACTTTAGATAAAAACTATCTAGTTGTTTTTTTTTCTGGTTCTTGCGGGTCATTTTGCATAGATATTAAACAATTTTTTAAAAACATAGAATTAAGCAATACATCTTGCTAAAAGTGTCTCTCTTTTTAAAATACTAATAAAATATCTCCAATACATGCTGAAAGCCCCTTACTGTTTAGTTATTAGATTAACTAAGCTGCTGGAAAACATATTTTGGTGATTTAAAAAATATACCTAAAATAACTTTTAAAATTGAGCTACTTGCCCTAACCGGTTTGGCTCAGTGGATAGAGCATCAGCCTGCGGACTGAAAGGTCCCAGGTTCGATTCCGGTCAAGGGCATATACCTTGGTTGCAGGCACATCCCCAGTAGGGGGTGTGCAGAAGGCAGCTGTTTGATGTTTCTCTCACATCGATGTTTCTCTCTATCCCTCTCTCTTCCTCTCTGCAAAAAAATCAATAAAGTATATTTTTTAAAAAAATTGAACTACTTAATGAGTTAAATAATAAAATGGCAGCAACAACTATAATGGTTACAAGACAAAAGTTAATACAAAGTCAATGAATGTAAGAAATATGTAGATAAAATGGAGGATTTAGAATATTAAGGTACTAATGCATTCCAATGACTAGAAAGAACCAAAATAATGTTCTCAATATATTTCTTTAATAAGATCATATAACAACTGATCTTTGAAGTCCGGCAACTCTTTTCACCTCTCATTAACTACCACTATACTCCTTGCTGTTTGCTGTGTTAATCTATGACATTATCCGGCCAAAGGCCTATATACTTCATGCCTGAGCTATTCAGCTGCCCTTTAAATCCATTCCACGCCGTGGAATGGAATTGTTTTCTCCAGATGGCCTCCACTTCCTATAAATAAGCATTCAACAGTGTTGTGACTTGCTACAAAAAGAAAATATTTCTTCTCTCTTTCCCTCCCATTAAACTAAGCATTCCTGTTCCTATTTCCTTATGACGATGGTAACATTCTTCTAATTTCAAAGCTTTCTTATCTCTCCCGTCTCGGTAGGTCACATGCAGTTACATCCCAGTGTTCTTCTATTTCAAATACAGTATCTTCATTCTCAAGGAGCCAATCCCTGGACACCTAATAGAAATAATAATACCCTACGGCCTCACTAGCTAAGGGCCATTGACATCGAAGGCACTCTTCTTCTTAGAGCTTTAGGTGTATCAATTCACTTATCTTCTCAACTACCCCAGGAGGTCAGTACTATTTTCATCACCTTTACACAGATAGGAAACTGAGGCACAGGGAAGTGACCTATTTCGCCCAAGTCATAGAACTAGCAATTAGAAGAGCCGGGAGTCCAAACCGGGAATCAAAAAAATCCGAATCAAGTTGACTCCTCCAATGATGATAAACAACAAAGTAGGAATTTATAGATACAGGAATAAATAGAGGGATGTATTTCACATTTGAGGTGCCTTTTTACTCACATCTTGTGTTATAATAATTTTTTTATCCTTGCTTGGTAGATGGCCAGATATCATAATCGTACGCTGGTTTCATTTTTTATTCTATCCATAAAGTCACATACTTATATTGTGGATGGACTTCAGTTTCTCTAATTTAAACTGAGATGCACTTTGGCTTGGCACCTCATTAAGCTGGAATAAGAACTAATATTGTGAAGTCCATAAATCCTTTAAAGATTTTATTTTTACATAGCATATTTTATTTTATTTTAAAAAATCTTTATTGTTGAAAGTATTATATAGGTCCTCTTTTTCCCCCCCATTAACCTCTTCCAGCCTGCTCCTGTTCCACACCCACCCCCAGGCCCTCACCACCCCATTGTGTCCACGGTTTTACATAGTATATTTTAAATAAATACTATTAGAAGCTTCATCTACCCCAAATTAATGAGTCATTAAAAGTTAAGAGCCAAAAATTATGTTTTCTCACAAAGCACTATCTGGGTATTAAAAAAAATATATTCAAATGTCTATCAAAAACCTGTAGAATAAGCTTCCTAAATCATGGATCTCATGGAAAGAAGTATAAGAAAATTATACACACAATTCCCTACATTTTTCTTTGAATTTCCACAAGCATTCTAAAATGTAGTCACAGTGCCAGATGGTGTTACCATACGCCCGTTTCTTTATATACCTAGCACCCAATTTGGCAATGTACCCCCAAACTGTTTAATAAATGCATTTTGATATCTATTTGGATTTGTAAACACCAGAAACAAAACGGTAAACAAGGCCCCAAGAAAGGAAATCTCTCCTTGTCTTTGAGGTTATCTTCATCTCCCATCTAAATGCCAGTCAGGTAAGGCTGCTGGAAAGGGGCTCTGAAATAGACAGCCGAAGAATTCCAGAGGCAGCAGCATGCAGGCTAGCACACTCTGCTGTTATACTCCTTATAATATAGCAGACAGAACCATGAACAGGCCTGGAGCATGTAGGTCATGCTGCTGCACCATAAAAAGGTCCACCTTGCCCAACTGGTATGGCTCAGAGATTGAGCATCAACCCAGGAGCCAAGAGATCCCCGGTTCGATTCCCAGTCAGGGCACATGGCCAGGTTGCAGGCTCAATCCCTAGTAGGAGGCATGCAGGGGGCAGCTAATCAATGATTTTCTCTCATCATTAATGTTTCTTTCTCTCTATCCCACTCCCTTCCTCTTAAAAAAAAAAAAAAAAAAAAAAAAAAAAAAAAGAGGTCACCTTAATCTTAACCTCTTTATGGTAGGAAGCCCAATTGATAAAATACCACCAAATGTTCATTATATTCTCAAATAGCTACTTTCTAATAGGATACAGTAACCTAATACATATAAAATACTATTTGGTTACACAATATATTAATTTAGAACATATTAGAATCCGTTGTTTTCATGAGTTTGGCCCACAAATAAAATTACTAGTCTACCCACTTCAAAAGAGAATAAATATGGAAAATCAGTAGTATTTGCTACTTATCTGCCATATGCTGTTAATTATAAAAATTCCCTTTGGACACTCATTCTAATGTAACAATTAAGAAAAAGTTAATTTATCAGGTTACCTCTAGTTATTTCTATACCACGGTAGTTCAGTTTCCTAATTTCCTGTGGATTTTTGAACATTTCCTACAACCTGCATGTATCACTTATCTAAAGTATTTCCCAGAATATTTTATAGTTGTTGTGTTTTTTTAAGTCTAGCAGGTCAGTATGACCTGAATTATTCAGGTCTGTGACTGAAGCCTAGAGCCATCTATTAATATCGATGTAAACAGATCAAGGAGCCTTGAAAGGCACAACACTTTGTCCTATATCATTGTTTCTAACTCATCCTCAGATAGCACAGCATTTACTGAATTGTCACAGTATGTTGGCTCAAGTACAGAGTGTAATGGAGACACAGATTTACTTTGGACTTCATAAGTCCTGAATTGAGCTTGTCCTATTCACAACTAATATAAAATGAAGCAGAATGTTACCAGGTTACTCTTTACCTGGAAAAGGCACAATTTTAGGGCATTCATTAAGAGCCGCCTAGTTTAAGACTAGATTGGATAGCCTAAGACTAGATTGGATAGCCTAAGACTAGGTTGGGTAGCCTAAGACTAGGTTGGGTAGCCTAAGACTAGGTTGGGTAGCCTAAGACTACGTTGGGTAGCCTAAGACTAGGTTGGATAGCCTAAGACTAGGTTGGATAGGTTAAAATAAGGAGCTAGGACTCAGAAGACAAGTCTTTACATCTGCAGTGAAATCAGGTTTAAATCACATGTTTTTCCATCTTGACCAAGTAAAGTAACAACATGGGCTGATGATAATAAACTGGGATGTTGGGACAACCCATTTCAGTGTCACTGTAAGGATACAATGATACGGTGTATGTGGAAAGAGCTTGCAAACTTTAAATATTACAGAGATGTTATTAACACTGCCTATAAGACTTTCAGCTTCTCAGGCCAGGGAGTATAATCTGTCCATTTTCTTAAACCTATACCATACCTGTCACAACTATAGGTCTTATGAAAAGCCTCTTTTTATAACAGGTCATAATAAACTAGGGTGCTTCCCTCTTCTCTTTTCTTTTGGTCCTTGGGATAAAACGATTTGTGATATGTGTGTTTTATAGCAGGCATTGCCTGTATGGGATATTTTGATTTTTTTCTCAATCCTTCTCTAGTTCACAGACTTAGTATTTAAACATACTAGGACTTGAATATCCGGAGAGATATGTAGGAAAAATAAAATAGATGGTAAGTTAGATATACTCAAGGGAAACTGAAAGTTAATTTTTTCTTATGTTTCGAGGTCCATGATTCTTACAATAAATGTTTAATTTAATGAATCTATGAAGAAATATTTATAACAGGCTTGCTATGTACCCCCTGATGTGCTATATAGGACCTCCGTCATGTTCAACAGTATTCTGAAGGATGTTATGGTATATTTGTGGAGTGAAGACTTTTGTAATAGAAACAGTTCAAGTACAGGGTATTTGGAAAATAACTAAATCCCTTTGGATATGCATTAATCAGTAACTGGGATTTATAGGAACATGTAGAAAAGGTCCATTTGTAAATCAGGGTCCGGACACTTATCCTGTAAAGGGCAACACAGTAAATATTTTAGGCTTTGTGAGCTGGACAGTCTCTGACGCATTATTCAATTCTGTTGTAGTTCAAAAGCAGCCATAGACAATGAATAAGTAAATGAATGCAGCTGTGTTCCAATAAAACTTTATTCACAAAAAGAGCAGGCATGATGAATTTGGAGCATGAGCCATTATTTGACAACTCCCATTATAAAGAAATTCTCCCAGCTCTTTCTATAATTGAATAAATGTTCAATATGCACCTTTTATGTCTCCAGGGCATGCATCAATCACCCTTGACCTTTGTAATACATCACCTTTGACCATGGAAATGGCAGCCACAACAAGATTCTTCATTCCTTTAAGGCTGAAAATGAAGGTACAGTACAAATGTAAGGTTCTGGAGATGTTCTCTCTGGAAGAAGTGACAAAGTGAGATATCTGGGGATCTGGGTGCCAAGGTGCCATTCTTCTTGAATCACCCTCTATAATGCAGATCAACAATTAATTCAATGTGGAATGAGGAATGTTACAAAGGAGTTCCAAATTGTAACTTGAACCTCACATATAGAACACAAGTATTTATCTGGCTTTCTGTAGAGCTCTGACTTCTTCAGACTTTCAAAAGCCAAATAGGGCAGGATCAGAGAAGAAAATGGAACCCTTCTCATTCCCAAACAGAAAGCTATTTAGCCAATGTAAAAAACAGAATGTGTGATCACAGCTCTTTTCTTCTCTTGAAATCACTGGTGGCTTTAATCGGACAAGTGAGCGACGCTTAGAGCTGTGGAATGCTAGAACTGGAAGGGGCCTGCGTCTGACCCCCCTGTATTTTCGTGGAGCAAAAAGAGGCTCAGAAAGGGGAAGTGACCTGCCTTAGGAGACACAGATAAGTTTTCTACACCCAGGACTAGAACACACATCTCCTAGATTCTAGTGTTTTTCTTACATCAAAAGTTACACCTTACCCAATCTCATTAGCTTTAAATGATCTTAAAAAATAGAGCACCAGTAGCTTCCAATGGATCACTCTGCAGCAGGGTTTCTCAAGTGCAGCACTACTGACATTGGACCAGATCATTCTTTGTTGTGGGGGCTTCCTGTGCGTTGTAGCGTGTTTGCCGGCATCGCTGAACTCTACCTACTAGATATCAGCATCCTCACTCCCTCCCCCTTGGTTATGACAACCAAACATGTCCCTAGACAGTGCTGAATGAACCCTGGGCCAGGAGGAGCGGGACGATGTAGGAGGGGGAAATGTTATCACTGGTTTTGACACCCTAAACCCACCACTTTCCCCACCCCACATATACCTCTAGAATAATTCTTTCATAGCCAGTCCGACTGAACCTAAGGTTCTCTTTCCAAAAATCTAATCCCTGTAACCTGACAGCACAAGGCCTTCCACCGGTGTTCTAGTTTCTCTTGCAGTTGGAATCTAGTTTACTCCCATCACTGGAATCTAGTTTTTCTAGATTAGCCATGGTCATAGGTCCTGTCCTTATCTACTCCATTCATTATTTCAGCATGCATTTGAGCGCCTACTATATGCTAGATCAGGGGTGGGCAAACTTTTTGACTCGAGGGCCACAATGGGTTCTTAAACTGGACCGGAGGGCCGGAACAAAAGCATGGATGGAGTGTTTGTGTGAACTAATATAAATTCAAAGTAAACATCATTACATAAAAGGGTACGGTCTTTTTTTTTTTTTTAGTTTTATTCATTTCAAACGGGCCAGATCCGGCCCGCGGGCCGTAGTTTGCCCACGGCTGTTAGATACTGGGCACAGACGTCTCTCTCTGGTCTTCAGTAGCCCCATCCAGTCTTCTGGGGGAGACAGATACGTACATGAATACCTGTCAGCCTTAAGATGAGTGTTATGAGAGAGGTATGTGCAGGGTGCTACACAATTAGGGACTATATTTCATTCACAGTGAAGGTGGTCGCAGGAAGTGGCCGAAAGGAAAGTGCCAGCTAAGCCAGCCATAGCTTCCAGGACAAATCAAGGTAGAGAAAGGAAAAGGCTTGCAGGGAGAGGGAGTAGTGTATCGAAAAGCAAGGAGGAAGAAAACCTGGCTTCTGGCTATAGCATCAACATAGGGTGAGGAATGAAGCTGGGGCAGAAAAGCAGGGGCCAGGTCTTGAGGAGCCAATTAAACCAGGCCAAGGAGTCTGCAGTTGATCTTGAAGGTAACTAGAAGCCGGGGAGAGTGCATCGACCTGGCAATTTAGAAAGACCTGAAGTGCAGAAAATGACCAATATGGGGGCTTCGAAGCAGGAGCTCAGGCCCCCCTCAAGATAAACATCTGATGTACTGTCTAGTAAAAGAACAATCGCGCCAGATTTCACCCTTGCGCATCTCAACATGGGAGGAATTCTTGTCCCAGGAGCATTGCCACAAACGGGCAAGGCCCACAGAGGGACAGCCCCTTCCTCCACTGGGCAGAGGGACCCTTTAATCATCAAGGCAAGAAGAAAAACCCTTTCCTCTGGAATCTAAGACTTCACAGAGAGGCTGATTTCCCGATGGAAATTCAAAACACTGTACTTTTCCCAGAAAGAAAAAAAACAGATGAAGCTTCCTATTTTTAAAGATACGGTTCGGCTAATTTACGGGTCAAAGGAATTTTGCACGCCTGTGTATTTGTGCCCTGGCTGTTGAACAGCTCATCGTGTCTATGGGAATATGAATTTCAGGTTGGCTTTCAGAACACAATCCATTTGCCAGCCGTGAACTGTGCATGCCTTTGCAGGGAATGTATGAGCAGAAAAGACGGTAATAAAATGCACCCGACAAGCTGTGATGAGAGCTCTTCCATAAAGAAGGGAGTCTGGGGCCATCGAAGAGCAATGCTGCTGACTGACCCCACATAAAATGCAAATGGAAGCCAGCTCTAGGCTGTCCAGGCCCTGCCGGGGCTAAGCCGGTCTGCATGCTCTCTAGGGCCTGCCACCTAGCTGGTGCTCCGTCAATGCTCGGAAAAGTGAGGTGGGTACACTGCAGTGGCTCTCCAGGCCCACATACCCGCTGGTTCGATGAGGCGCAAGAAAGCAAGGACGAGACAGGCAGCATGGACTTGCCCAGGACGGTGAAGTAAGCTGGTAAGTCCCTCTCTCTTAGGAGCAGAAGCCAATAGGAACACGAAGTGACTTTACTTCATACTCAGGTCAGTAGAGGGGATCAACTTAAGTAAGTTAATGTGAGGCCCATGGCCTGCTGTGATTTAAGAGCTATTTGTAGCTGAAACATGGTGGCCTTCTTCCTTCTGACTCATCCATTACTCAGAAGGCCCTAGCTTCCTAGAATTCTTCATGAAATTCCAGTCGTAAGGGCCTCATTTTGCGTTTTCACTACTGACCTGATCTATCTCTTGCCTCTCCCGGTGGCAGCAGGCAACTTTTCCTTCTTAAAGCTGTGCTGTGATGAAGCTAGGGTCTCTTTTCAAAAACCTTCTCACCACCTCTCAGACACCTGCAGGATAAAGTCCAAACCTCTAGCCTGCCTTTACAGGATAGCTCTGCAGAGTCCTCACCTGTAAATTCCACCCACCCCCACCACCTTTGTAGACTAGTCAATATGGTATCTTTAGTGTTTCCTAAATGGACGGCCTTCATTCCTCCACTGCGCTTGGCTCATACCCCAGAGGCCTGAAACTCTCAATTCTTCCCTCTCTACCTTCGAAGCACATTTCCTAGTCTGGTCCTACTAAGTGCAGTAGAAGTCTGAGCTGATTTCAGCCCGTCACCCCTCTCCACTCCTTGCATGGAATTATTCTATGCACCCCAGTCCTGCATGAGCAATAGTGACAAGTGGAGGAATGACCCAAGGCCCTAGAAAGGTGCCTGGCACATTTTAGGAGCTCAACAAATGTCTGTTAATTTCGTTGAAGAAATTCAACAGATCAAATATTTGACACTGCGAATTTAAGATCATCACCCATTCTCCCTTTGACCAGGACTCCTCCTCCACCCCCCACCCCCCAGGTGAGAAAAAGCATCTAAATATTTTAACTTTGATCAAGTTAGCTTTGATATATAAAAAAGCAGAACTTCCTCTTTAACCACAGAAATATGAACTCCCACTCCACCCACCCCCTACTATTGAATTCAGGTTACTTGAAAAATCACCGACCTGGATCATTTCTTACTAAAACGTTGCATCTTCCCTGCAGTTGCAAAGGTAACCTTACCTCTAGCCAGCCAAGTCACCAACAGATTCTCCATGCGAGAAAAATGTTTTTGAAAATGGAGGTGTGAGTATAAAACACCCACAGGCAGGAATAGAAGTACAGGTGGTGCCTGCAGACGCAGGACACCCAAACGGACCTTCTGAGCGAGCCAAAAGCGTTTTAGCCAACATAATGTTCTTCAACTGTTGTTTCAGGGGCTTTTCGATAACAAAAGTCCCCCCTCCCCTTGGTCCTAACGTTTTTTGCCCACCACTTACTTCCCAGTGAGTGTCTGACTTATCTGAGCGCAATCTTTGTGCACGCAGTCATCTCGCTCAGACACAGGAGCAACCACGTTTCCTTAAATCAGAGCCCGGTGGACTCTGCCCGTGAACTACATTACCCAGCGGACCCCGCGCCCTTCGCAGGAAGGACGTCTGCGCACAAGATACTCAGTTCCAAGTTTGGAGCTTTTAGCTGCCAGCCCTGGCCCATCATGTAGCTGCAGCACAGCCTTCCCTAACGTTGCAACTGGGGGAAAAATCACTTTCCAGTCTGTTTTGCAAGGTGTGCATTTCTATCTTGATTCTCTGAAAGTCCATCTGCTGCATCGGTCAAGAGAAACTCCACTTGCATGAAGATTGCACGCCTGCAGCTTGCATCTTTGTTGCAAAACTAGCTACAGAAGAGAAGCAAGGCAAAGTCTTTTGTGCTCCCCTCCCCCATCAAAGGAAAGGGGAAAATGTCTCAGTCGAAAGGTAAGAGCCTATTTGCATCAATTGCAAAAATGCAAAGGGTTGTGCATGCATTTATGAATGCACGGATGCAATTTTCGCCTAGCGATTGCATGTTTAAGTTTGAGGTTTTCCACAGCTCAGTTGCATTTCCTGTTTAGTATGTGTCTTTTTTTTTTTCTTTTTGCAGACACAGAGAGTTCCTGTAAGGCAGGGCTTGCAGTTCAGCTGTGCATTGACGTTATTTGCATTCTTCTGCTAGGATTACTGAGCTCTTTTTGCCTTTTGCACAGTCAGGAGAGATAGAGCAGGTTGGTAGCGTCTAAATGTGCAATGCTTTATATAATTACAAAATTCTTTGGTATGCACGCATATTATAAGTAATTTTCTGTGCAACAGAAATACAAACTTTTTAAAAGTCTGTGGGTGAAGATGAAAGGTAAAACTTGAGTTAAACTAGTAGGAAATTAATGT